TCACATTTGTGGACTAAACTTTAGAGAATAGAATATCCAATTTGCTTGGGCCTTTGACCGCAACTCCAGACAGAAATCCTATGCAAACCCCTACCGAATAACAACCATACAAAAGAGTGTGTATGTCCGCAGATATCAAAGAGCGTGCATATGTCTGATGCCAGCCAAGACCCAGCCCTCCTTCTAGCGACAGAACTGAAACAGCCTGGAGATGACGTACAAGTTTCCTCAGCAGGTCTTGGTTCACCGTCCCACACTACCTGGATGTAGAAAGAGCAAAACATGCTTCCAATATTGAAACAAGGTATACTCCGGCAAATCTGACGATGGTCGCCGTTAGAAGCTCCGGCCAGAAACACGGCTTCACGCGCCGGCGTGTGCATTGGCCACAGAAGTTTCCGATGGCGCGTGTAACCTACACGCGATGATTTGGGCGTGCGGACTTCGGGTGGATTGTCGACGGCGGCAGGCGAAGCAAAGGATGAGGGAGGTGAACCAGAGTGTGAAAAAGGTTGCCGGCTTCTGAGATCGAAGGTTCTGGGAAGAGGTTTTGGGAAGAGGTTTTGGGAAAAGGTTCTGGGAAAAGGTTCTGGGAAGAGTATGTGGTCGGAGGTTCTTGAAGACTCTGGACTGAAATCAATTTCTTGGAAAAAGAACACAGTCTAAAAACTAAACTGAGATATGACAAACTAAACTGAAATCTGAAAAGAGAAACTAAACTGAAACGGAAGGCTCTGATACCATGTTGAAATAGAGCATACTCCGTGTATTTAATAGTTCTCTACACTTTCCTTTTTGGGCTGTATTTAGAAGTTCCCTACACTTCCATTCTTGTTAAGTTTACCCTTTATAAAATACTCAACTACTCTTATTTTATCTACTTTTTATCTTCTCTTTCATACTTTTACACACTCTTTCCTACTTTTTCTACACTATTCACTACCCCTACTACTTCTCTCCTCAAATAATGTGTTCAACCTAATGTAGTGAACATTAAAATACGGAGGGAGTATGAATTAAGAAACGGAAAGGATTTTCTGTGTATTTCATTGAAGGGTCAAAGCCTTATATATAGATAACAAAGAAGGAATATTCCTATATAAGATGCTATACACTAATAATATCTAGAGTATATTCCTAAAGCATATTCTTATTATTAATATTATAATATAATATCTTTCACAAGGCGCAAGGATGAAGATGAAGTTGTCGATAAGGGTTGTTCCCTATCACCCACCTTGAGGACAAGGTGGTTTTTTAAGAGGGGAGATATGATAGGAGCCGGGCAGACTGGTGATTATTATTATAATAATAATAATAATAACAATAATACTAGTACAAGTAGTATAAATAGAACATCGAAATCGCTATTCAGATAGCTCATAACTCAGTTTTCCACGAACGGACAAAGCACATCGAAATCGAAGTCATTTTGTTCGTGAGCACCTCCAGTCTGCCACAATCACATTACCTTATGTTCCTTCTAGCTTGCAGTCGGCGGACTTCTTCACAAAGACACACCCTACTGGTTTTGCTTCCTCCTTGGCAAACTCTCGATGTTCTCTGCTGTCACATCCTGAGTTTGAGAGGAGTTGTGAAAGGAAAGTATCTCCTTGTATGTTTGTACATATCTTTATTTTAGAGCATAAGATTAGGGAGTGATTTATGTTTGATTGTACTTGCTTTTGTGTCCTAATTTTAGGGTTATATATATGTAGGGTGCTTTACCATGTAATATTTGTTTTTGCTTTTCATTTTACAAAATTGTGGGGCGATAAGTCGATGACCAAGTTGTTATACACATTTCAAATAATCCAATATTTCATGAGAGTAAAGCATATTGAGGTTGATTGCCATGTTTTTTCGAGATAAGATACTGTATGGATTGATCTCGATCGGATATGTGAAGACTGGAGAACAACTTGAAGGTTTATTCACTAAAGCACTAAATGGGATTCGGGCTATTATTTATGTAACAAGTTGGGCATGATAAGAGGAAGCGGTCCACCCCAGCTGGTCGCTGACTCACTCTCCCTTACGGGAGGTCTCGGATTCGAAACTCAATGGAGTGAGTTTCAGCCTAGATTATTCCAGGCTCCCCCAGCCCCCCTCCCCCAGACTCCCCTGGAGTAAAAAAAAAAGTTGGGCATGATAAATATCTATGCTCCAACTTGAAAGGGAGTCTGAGATATATTAGAATAAATGTAGAAATATTCTGGGAATATACTCTAAGATATTATTATGCTATAGAATCTTATAGGAATATTCTATCTGCGTAATGTATATTTATAGGGACTTAAACCCTTCTATAAAGACAAAGAAAATTATTTCTTCTTCAATATTAACTTAGTATATACGCTTTGTTTCAACATTAATAACCTAATTAATAGGCTAACAATCATTTGTAATATTCGTTAATTGACTATTTTTTTATTTTTAATTAAAAATTAATCTATAATGTGTTAGTAAGAATCCAGTTTTTTATACTTGACTAAAAAAACCTAAACAAGAAAAGATAAAAGTAAAACTGTAAAAGAAAGTACAAATTTTAACATCCAAAGTTGTGGTTTCCGACAGAAGCACGAAAGGGTCACATTTGGACAATGAAAGTAACATATAATGATTATATAACGATTTGAATGTCTTTTGTAACTAATGTAAAATTGTAAAAGTGATAAGACTGTAACTTCACATGTAACCCTTATGTTACATTCTCATATCTAAATTTGCAATCCCTAAACAAGGTGAGGGGTTTCCGTCCATTCTCCTACCTCTTCTCTAACTTCAAACCCACCCCTACAAACTCCCAAACAAAGTCTTAGTGCTTCTAAATTTAGACTTACTATATTCCTATTCTATGTTCCATCATTTACAATGGAGCCAAAGAGTCAATCTTTTTTGGCTTGGGAATACGATGGAATAAAGCAAAATGACTCACTAAACTGTTTGTGCTTCTTTTGTTATGAAGCAGCGGTAAGTCCATGCAATTTTTGACGCAATTTTCATCATGGGTCATCCCGAAAGTGCTTTAGTACGGGGTGAGACTGCGTACATCCCATCGTAGGTGAGAGACTTTGCGGCACTGGGTAATGTTGTTGATGTATATTTCTAGTCTATTTCCAATATCTCTGTGTGTTGGCAATGTTTAATAAAATAATAACTTCAATAGAAGCTAAAAGAATGTTTAAGGGAGGCTAAGGGATAGTAAAACTTCATATACATTATAGGCTCTATGTTTATTTAAACCAATGAATATAGTAATGCTCCGTAGGCAACTTTTAGAAGCAAAGGACAATCAACTAAAATATGATTGTTTCACTCAAAAGAGAAAAGGCTGAAAAGGAGGCATGTAATAAAATGCCAAGGCCGAAGGGAAACCAAATTACACTGATCAGCTAGTATCTAGTAAATATTCTGACCAAGTGTCTAATGTCTATGTCCTAGAATTTGGTATATTTATATAAACCTTGGTGCTATGACTTGTGTTACAGCATGACCAGGGGCGGAACTACACTAGAGCTTGGGGGTGCTTGTGCCCCTGTGGCTCTGCAGATTTCTTTTTATTATATATATAGAGAAAAATTTTCAGGTTCAGCACGTTTCTGTCCGAACACCGTCCGAACACCACTGTTTGGGGCGGTTTCCGGTGGAATATTTTGATGAAATTTTTTGAGCATGTTCCTCATCAAGTGTAGTTTATCCAGATTATATTTCAGCTTAAAATTCGATCGGGAAGGCAGTAAAATAATTTTTTGAAGTTAACTGCGTTTTTCTATGTATAATTTGGTGCAGTTAACTTCAACAAATTGTTTGACAGCCTTCCCGATCTAATTTTAAGCTTAAATTTGGTATGGATAACTACACTTGATGAGGAACTTGCTCAAAATATTTCATGAAAAAATTACACATGGAACCTCCCCAAACGGCGGTGTTCGGACGATGTTCGGACTTCGGACCGGGGGCTGCTGGACAGGAGAATGACTCTCTCTATATATATTATACAGAGTGGTCGACAATCAACTTTTGAATGTAAGAATAATTTGGAACCACAAACAAATTTGATATTGATCAATGTTAATGAGGCATACTGAAAAGAAAATGTAAGAAAATCTTAACAAAACAAAGGGAGTAATATATTTATGAGCTCGACTACTAACTTTGAAGCTTGGAGGGTTGATTACATTGAGCGAGTTTCTTTGGAATTCACCAGAATTAGGCCAGAATAAGTGAATAACGCTGGCGACCACTAGGTCTAGCGACTGATCGAGAGCATTATTGTTTTAAGGTGACTGGCGTAGCGGCTTTGCTATTGTGTATTTTGGGCTATAGCCATGTATTGAGCTTGTTATTTTTTGTTGTTGTGGATAGTCAGGCTCAAGTTTGACAAAGAATTCATATGAATCAATTTTGTACACAGATTTCTAAAGGTAGTAAAGAGCCGAGCCTTCTGAGGTAATGTGCCCCTCCAAGATCACGAAGCTGGTTCCGCCACTGAGCATGACAGGAAATCGTGATGAAGTCTATCTAATTAAGGTCAGTTTAGTCTGAATCTTTATAGGATTTTCCTACTCCTTTTTCCTTGAACCATACTTATAAAGCTTGTAATGAGTTGTATGAAATCATTAAAATGCAATCTTCTGTTAAATTACATATACTTCTTAGTTGAAAGGACACCACACTCTTGCAGTATAAGTAATAATTAGGGGGAATTTGACTTTGCACCCCACTTTTTGGGTGATATTGGACTTTGCACCCCATTTTCAAAAAACTTTGACTTTGCACCCCAACACATACCATTTTGTGAAGAAAAAATTCTAAATGGGGTGCAAAGTCAAAGAAATTTTAAGTGAAATGGGGTGCAAAATCAAAGTTTTTCCAAAATGGGGTGCAAAGTCCAATATCACCCAAAAAGTAAGGTGCAAAGTCAAATTCCCCCTAATAATTATACCAAATTGATCTATTTCATTTATGGGCAGAAGAGTATCCGGTTTACCACCAACCTGACGCTCAATAAAGGCAGCTTCAACATCGAGATCATTTACACTTAGTCTCTGTCAAATAACGAGTGAGCATTGGTCAAATAGATTCATCACTGAATACACAAAATGAAGTAAATCATTAATGAGAAAAGTGCATACCACAATTGTTTTTGGAAGTAGAGCTTTCTGATAATAAGTTTCGGTGTACTCAACACGATTATCTTTGTCGTATTCCTCGTCATCTGTTAACTCAGTCATCTTTTTGCCCGCATATTTATCAGGATTAGACTCCATATCATCCAAAAGCAATTGTTCAGCATTATGAATCAGCCATAACTGTATTCCAAAAAAAAACATACGAGACAGTCAACTTAATTTGCCACAAATTTCCATCATCATCATCATCATTCATCATCATCATCATTACCCCAGTGCTGCAAAGGCTCCCACACCTTCAGTGGGGTAAGGGGGGGTCGGATGTACGCAGTCTTACCCCTTTACTAAAGCACAGAGAGACTGTTTCCGGATGACCCATAGTGAAAATCGCGTCCAACACTGCTGCTTCATAACTAAGAAGCGCAGACAGTTTAGTAAGCCATTTTGCTTTATTCCATCATATTCCCAAGCCAAAAAAAGTGAGTCTTTGGCTCTATTGCAAATGATGGAAAATAAAAAGAACATTGTTGAACTCTATGGTCATACTATGAGATGCCTAAATAAGGTTTTGTTCTCTTCAATTTACCTCCTTTACTTATAACTTATTCTTAATTTCCATCATTTACAATGGAACCAAAGATTCACTATTTTTTGGCTTGAGAATATGATGGAATAAAGCAAAATGGCTCACTAAACTGTCTGCGCTTCTTTGTTATGAAGCAGCAGCCAGCCCATGCAATTTTGGACGCGTTTTTCACTATGGGTCATCCGGAAACAGTCTCTCTGTGCTTTAGGGCAGGGGTAAGACTGCGTACATCCGACCCCCCCTTAACCCACCGTAGGTGGGAGCCTTTGCGGCACTAGGGTAAATGATGATGACTTATAACTTATTCTTACGTTCTTATTTTACTCGAACCAAAGCAGAAAGATTCAAATTCGACAAGAGTAGAGACATCCAGACCAGATCAGATGTGATCTTTCAGACCAAAAATCAGATTAGATAAGATAAGACCAGAAACATCTAGACCATATCAGAATGAATAAGACCGGGCTAGATCTTAAAATTTAATGTCAAATCACAATTTTTAAGCAAAGAGAACATGTCCTGAATCATAACTGGGGGTAGCAAAAGTTAGTCTCTAACTAACGCTCTTACACTACAACCTTCTGCACATAAGGGTGATTTGATAACAATGGATCTTCTTCCACTTTGAAGCCAGGGCCTTTTCTAGGAATTGGAGGTCTTCCACTTTCACGCTGCAACATAAGTATGAATCAGAAGTACAAATTTGAATATAGAATAAATACATAATTGGGTCCTAAAAACATTTAAATCCTACATAGATGACAATGATTGGCATTTCAGGTTTGTCAAATAAATTCAGATTTGACAAGAATATCAAACTGTAGGAAAGATTGATGTCCATATTCGGAAGAGTAGATTGTAGAGAGCGACATCAGAGTTCTACTTAAACCAGGATACTGTTGATGATAAAATTCGAAAGAGTGCAAACCCTCAAAACTCAAATGCTGAATAACTGATAGAAATGGTGTGCTACACTTGTTCTAAGCAAGCTTATGTGAAAATTTTGGCTCGCAAGTCTGGGAAGTCAAAATTACTTAAGCATGCAAAATTTCCAACTGGAAAGTGTTACAAATTCTATTTGGGGCATAGCACATCAAAGGAAAGCAGCATGCTTAAATGAGTAGCAGACCACAAGAATAGAAAGAATAATAGATATTACATATTTTACTAATTCGTTGCGATAGTTATTTATTTATTTTGATTGATTTTTATTTTCTATTTAGTGTTTGCATAAAATAAGGAAATTGATAGTGAAATCAACTCTATAAATTGACACAACTCTGGAGGAACAAAGCATGCAGTTTTTCACCCAAGCTGCTGAAGTACTGAGTGCTACCAAGGGCAAGTCTCCACACATTCTCCGGGACTCATCAAAGATGATCCTTTTCCTCCCTTTTGCTATTGCACGTAAAAAGAAAATCATACCCTCCCATGTCCTTCCCACATCTAGCAATAGATCTGGGATGAGGACCTACACCAACACACTTAACAATTTGGTATCAGATTTCAGGATGATGGGCGATCAATCTGCACTTGCCAGCAATCTCAAATCTGCTCTGGAAAATCAGAACGCTTGCATAGGAAACCTTGAAGAACATATTGACGAAATTGCTGATTCCTTGAGCAGTTGTTCCACCAGGCATCCAAAATTCAAGGATGAGGATTCATTGACGAGAGCCCTACCTTACCACGACCACCACAGGGGGTGGCAGTTTGTTTGCCCCGAGGTTCTCCAAATTAGAATTTCCCTTGTATGATGGTACTAACAATCCCGTGACTTGACTTAGGCATTGTGAGAAGTTCTTTGACCACCAAAACACTTCGCAGCCTGAACGCATCCGGTTTGCCACCTTCCACATGACAGGAGCCACAACTATGGGCAGAATACTTGGAATCATCGGGAGAAGCATCATCAATATCAATAACAACAACATCCAAGCCTTAGTAATGTGTGGGGACCTTCACACATAAATACTATAAGAGGAAAGAGATGGTTTGTATCTTTTATAGATGATCACACAAGATTAACTTGGGTATTTCTTATGCAAAATAAGTCAGGCGTGAGTGAATTTTTTCAGCACTTCCATTATACGATTCAAACTCAGTTTCACACTACGATTCAAGTACTCAAAACTGACAATGCCAAAGAATTTATTAATTCTGTTCTTGGTACCTATTTGGTAGAACATGGCATCATCCATTTAAGTTCTTGTGTTGACACCCTTAGCAAAATGGAATTGCTGAATGGAAAAATTGACATTTTCTTGAAGTTGCACTATCTCAAATGTTTGGAACACACCTTCCTAAAGTTTCCTGGGGGTGCAGTTCTCACTGCTGCTGATCTCATTAGTCGGATGCCATCTAAAGTGCTGAAATCTCAAACTCCGTGTCAAACTCTTCTGCAAATATCCCCTGATACAAGGTTCATTAGCTTTGTTGATCCTAAGGTCTTTGGTTGCACTGTTTTTGTCCATCTTCATTCACATCATCATAGTAAGCTAAATCCTAAATCTACCAAATGCATTTGTATGGGTTATTCATCTAATTAAAAGGGTTACAAGTGTTATTGCCCTGCTACACGAAATACCTAGAACTCTATGGATGTCACATTTTTCGAATCACAAGCTTAAACAAATCCGAGATTCAGATGGAGGATGCAAGTGAATCTCACCTTCAGGGTATTACTGTTCTAAATAAGTCATACTCATATAAGGGAAATTACACCTACTGCACCTAGTCACCAGTCCACAACCAGTAACCTCAGTCCGAGAGCGTCAAGATGTCATAGAAAACCAAGTTCCATTTAGTCCATCTAGTTCATCTCAAGCCACTGAAAAGTGAAAACACGTCTGAACTGTTACCAATTGTTAATTCTCATCCAGAACCTAAAGAACTTCGTGTCTATCAAAGAAGGAGGCACTCTGAGATAGAACGGAACATCTACAAAATGGCCATGAATTAGAAATGGATTCACATCCTCCAGAAATACATTCAGGTAGGAGTAATCCTTGTCATGATAGTGTTATTACTATAAATGATGATCTGCCCATTGGTTTGAGAAAGGGAGCTCGTGCTTGTACTAAACATCCCATTGGCATTATCTCTATCCTATCAAGCATTTGTTTCTTCTCTTGATAGTGTACAGATTCCTCAGACAATTCAAGAAGCACTGATTGATCCGAGTTGGAAAAAGGTTTGGTAAAGAATGAAACTTGGCACATAACATATTTACCATCTAGAAAGAGACCAGTGGGATGTGAGTGGGTATTCATCCAAAAATTTCGAGTTACATGGATCGAGGCAAAGTATTCATGAGCCAATTCTGGATTGACTTGTTCCGTTTAAGTGACACCAAGATGACCTTCTCATCGGCCTACGACAAAAAACATAGACATGGAGTTCAGTGTGGGTGATTAGGTGCGACCATGAATTCATTCGTTCAAACAACTCTCGGTCGCAAAACAACACCATAAACTCTTGCCCAAATATTTTGGTCCATTTCAGGTTGGAGTCAAGATTGGGGCTGTCACTTACAAGTTAAAGCTGCCATCATACTCAAAATTCATAACGTGTTCCATTTGTCTCTTCTTAAGTCGCACCATGAGCCGCCTCCAACCACCATGGGGGCATTACCATTGTTTTATGAAGATAAGGACTTGACAACTCAAAAATTGACCCTCTGGGGATGTTTCAACAGCGGCACATGTGAAGTACTCATCCACTGGGAGGGGAATCAGAAACAGCAGCCACTTGGGATCACATCCAAGTAACTTATCCAGAGTTGAAGCTTGCAGATAACATTGAGGGAAGGAGTGATGTTACAGTTCCTTTTTGGGTCTTAGGAGATCAAAGGAAAGCAGCACACAATTAAAGAAGTAACAGGCTAAGTGAATAGAAAGAACCATAGATATTAATAATTTCATGACTTGTAGCAATTGTTATTTTGATTGATTTTCCTTCCATTTAGTATTTGCATAGGATAATCAACTCTATATATTGACACAACTCTGAAGGAATAAGGTATTCAATTGTTCACCCAAACTATTGAGCATTGCCAAGGGCAAGTCTCCGCTCATTTTCCGGGACTTGCCAAGGACGGTACTTTTCCTCCCTTTCAATATTGCTCGTAAAAATAAAACCATGCCCTTCCCGGTACGAGGGCCTGCACTAGCACGCTTAACAGAAAGATGACACACAATGTGCCATCTAGAGCACATTACTAGGTGTGGCTTTGTTCTATCATATCAAGGATGTCAACTTTAGTTTCGACTGAAATCTAGAGAACTATGTCTATTTCTAACAAAAGTCAGTAAGCAGAAAACACTCCATCTCCCCCTTTTTTATTTTCTTTCATGTAAAATCTATAAATACAATATTGGATGCTCTTCCCAGGGAAATTCGTCTACAATTGGAAGTTATATCTCTGATTGATTGGTGAGGAAACGAATGACGTGAATTGAACTTTGTTCAAATTGCACAGTTGCTTACACGTAGCTCATCTGGATTGGTATCTTCTTCCCGGTGAAATATTGGTGCAGAATCAAATCGGTTGAACCTGCTTACATTAAGGCATATAAGGCCTTCGAGTTGGTAAAAAGGAAAAAAACTTTAAAAGTTGTACCTGTTACAGTGCAACATAAAGAGAATGGTATAAAGTACTCCATCCATCCCAAAAAATAAATTTTTTAATAAATCCAGATAAACTTGTGAATTTGTGATGCATTTGCAAAAATTTACTTCAAATTATGAAAATCAGTGAAGTGGAAAAGGTATAAAACCATTGATGTTAGAATCGGAAAATGGATATTATTTGGGATAGACCAAAAGGGGATGGGGAGAAATTGCCCAAAAAGGAGTTATTTTCTGAGTCAATAAACAGATATATACACCCACATAACATTTAATCAGGACATCTGAAGTCTATGGTTTTAACTCTTCAGCTCCCTCTTTTGCGGCAAAAATGACACTCACTCATTGAATGGAACTTGAACGTAACAAACAAGCTTTGCCCTTTTTATAAATAACAACAAAAACATTAATTTCTAACATATTTAATCTGAAAAGGAATATCATTTACATACTTCTTCAACTCCACTCAGTAGTTGAAAAAACTAACACCCTACACATAATAAAAATACTGTATTGTGTGAAAGTATAGCATTACCTTGACTTCTTCATACAAAAGTTCAAAACTACCAAACATATAAAATCGAGCTAAAAAGAAGCAAATTGGGTTACATTTTTACAATAGTACTTTGATTAAGTTTTGCATTTTACCGAACAACGAGGGTCCAAGTGTTATTCTTGTGAGGGCTCAACTAAACTGCTATTGATATACACATAGAGATGCATATTATTCGTTAAATCAAATAAACCTTACGTTAGGTGATCTATATTTGGATCAACAAACCGCATCTCAATTGGGAACCGAAACCGGTATGGATCTCTTTTTACCTGTGACAGGAAGAAATCACATAGACATAATAGCACATGTATAGATTACCAATTTCAATAGCACATAATTATTTAAGTACCACAACCAGTAATAAGAATTTTTAAGAATAAATGAAGTTAAAATGAAAATCAATACAGAATGTAGATATTATGAAAATAATCACACATGACTGTATTGAACAAACAACAACAGCATCCAAGTCTTAATCCCAAAAGATTTTGGGGTCGCCTAACATGAATCAATCATGTTGATTGGCATTATTAACATTAGGGTAACTTACCAAAAGTTCAACAATGACATGCATACCAACTTCAATATGATGTCGAATCCAGAACCAGTCATTTCTCTTTATAGGAACCCACCTGAAATACAATTTAAAGTATCAAATAAATGTTAAAATTTAATGTTGCATCATGACTTTCAAGCAAATGAGTGAAGCCCAAATATCATGTCAAAGAACTGTAGAATAGGTCAAAGTTGTTAGAGGTTTGTTGCTATAGTCTAGGATTAAGTTGTAACTAGATATTGTTATCTTATCCCTTTTTGAAGGATCAGTTGTTAGTATTGTATTATAAATATACCAATCAATGAAGCAAATAATCATCTGGCTCAATTATATTCACCTTTATAGTATGAGAGCCTCTACCCTAGAAAAACCATGGTCGATCCCAGACCAACTCAGAAAACTTGAGTTCAACGAGTGATCCCACTCACTCGCTTGCCGCTCCATCCTTATCCAATTCTGAGCCCATTCAAGGCTTGTTGGTAACTTCCCAAAAAATTAAATGGCAGAAACTTTCTTCAATGGTCTCAACCTGTCAAACTTTTTATTCAAGGGAAAATTTGGCTATATCTCTGGCCTTGTAAACTATCTACTGATAGCAGTTGTACCCTTAAGTTTGTTGCTAATGGTTGTATCTTTGAGGACCTATGCTCAGCGAAAATGATTGGCAGTGCTAGTGAACGCAATTACTACCTTGACCAAAACAACCTTACCGGAAGTAAAGCACATTACTCTAGTTCCATAGGACCTATTCTCTTTGCTATGAAATAATGGTATGCCGCTATCGTTTAGGCCACCCCAGTTTTAATTATTCACAACACCTGTTTCCAGCCTTATTTAGAAATAAAAGCATCTCTTCTTTTCAATACGAAGTGTCAATTAGCTAAAACATCATAGATCTGTGTTCCCTTCTATAAAATATATTCCATTTAGACCGTAGTGTACATAGTGATAAATGGGGACCAGCAAAAGATAAATATATAACGGGTACTAGCCACTAGGTGGCTTATAAATGTGAAATATATATGTTGTAGCCTATATTATTCTTGTTAGCAAATGCTATACAAGAATCTATATTTAGAACACTAGGGTTTTCTATACAAAGATATACAAAACGGGCTACACTCACTACTATTAGGGTTTCCACACTCTCCCTCAAGCTGGAGCATATAAATTATGTGTACCAAGCTTGTTACAAATATATCCCATTTTACGACATCTAAGAGACTTTTAGTTAAAATATCTGCAAGTTGATTAGTATTTGTGGTGATATGTCCATTCATGAACTTCTCTCGGATAAAATGGCAATCAACTTCAATATGCTTAGTCCTCTCATGATATACCGGATTTGATGCGATGTGCATTGCGGCTAGATTGTCACACATGAGTTGAACCAGTTTTGTGTTTCCATATTTTAACTATTGAAGGAGATGATTCAATGGTAAGGTTTCACATGTAGCAAGGGCCATTGTACGATATTTTTCTTCAACACTAGATTTGGAAACCACATCAATTTCATACTTTTCCATGAAATTGAGTTTCCACCGATCAAGATGCAATAACCTGAAGTGGAGCATATATCCATCAGACATTCGGCCCAGTCTGCATCACAATATCCCACAATATCATGGTGACTTTGATCTTTGAAAAGCAATCCTTTTCTAGGTGTTTTATTGATGTATCTCAAAACTTGGATAGTTGCATCCTAATGTCCATTACATGGTGTAGAAATGTACAACCGAGTACAAGTGTAGATAAAGTTTGAAAACTTGTTGTAATTAGATGTAATTAATTACTTCTTATCAGATAAAAAGTGTTAGATAGTCAGATCCTACTTTTTAGGATCTCATTATTGAGGTTGTTGCCTGGTGAAATCACGTGATTGACAAACTACCAAGCCTCGGTTCAGTCAAAGTCTGTCAAACTAGCAATTGATGGCGAGGGGAAAGGTGGGATACTTAACTGGTGAAATCAGGGGAAAACAAAGTGGTGATGATGGCTAGTGTCTGGAGGTCAGAAAATTCTTTAGTAACAGCTTGGCTTCTCAGTTCAATGGATGCATCAATTGCCAAGCCTCACATGTTCATAAAAACTGCAAAGGAGGTATGAGATTCCATTAAGGAAACTTATTCGGATCTTGAGAACTCTTCTCAGATTTTTGAATTGTAGATTATTACAGATAGTTCTAATTACTCACCCGATTGAGCATTTATGAGGAGAAATCTTAGAGATCTCAGAATCTCTAGGGTGATTTTATATATCAATACAAGTTAGCTAAGCCTAAACTCTTTGGTTAATGCTTGGATGTTGTTGTACTCTTCACTCAACTAATCAACAGTTTTGCAATAACTTTCCCATAGCACCACGTAGACAGATAGCAAGTTGATCATACCGACATTGTGAACTCGAGATCCTAGCACGGATCGGAAGGGGCTTGTAGATCATTAACTCATGAATCGTAACTCGGATTGTAAGATCCTAGAATCAAAGCTACTGTGCAATATTTATTTAATACATATCCATATATTTAAGTAAATTTAAAATTCTGACTAAATCACCTATGATAATTAATATTAATATTAATAATTACATCATGTAAACACTAAAATAAAATGCTTAACAACTAAATAGAGGCAGAGTATAAGACACACTTGTAAATGTCTAGGTCCCACGGGTTTAATACTTAGCAAAATCAGAACAAGAGCACTTTTATACTAACTTATTAAAAAATCAAAAATCAAACCATTGCCATCGATATCATAGATCGATTCATGTTAGCCGACCCCAAATTCTTTTGGGATTAAGGCTTGGATGTTGTTGTTGTTGTTGTTGATTAAAAAATCAAACCAAAACATCCGCTTGCGTCTATCGGAGTCCCCTCGGCACTTAGGTCCTTGGAGTATTTTGCCGACGGTTCATAAGTTTTTCTTCTGTTTTCAATGTTTCATTTTTTGTTGTACTGTTAGACATGCAGCAAGACAGCCGGTAGAATTTTATAATAAAGTGTATAAAAGAAGAAATAATAAGACTGCTGCTAGTAACTAATTACTAACGAGTTAGTTAGTTAGTTAGTTAGTTGTCCCTGCGTGGACATTACTATAAATAGAAGGGCTCAGCTAGCAGAAGGTTGGTTGGACTTTTTGGCTAGAACAGGACTGGGAGACTAGGCATCTCGAATTGTCTAAAGCGTGTATACTTTGGTTGAATGAATCAAGTGTGTGTTCTGTGTGTTGTTCATTGAGATTATAGCGTTCGATATTGTATGATCTATCATTGGTATCAGAGCATTACGCTCCTGGCGACATCGGAAGTGATCGTGAAGTACCAGATTCCAGAAAAATTTTGTCGAAGAGGTGGATGGTTAAAACGAGAGGAAAATGGATCGTCGTATGGATTCGATGGAACAAAAGCAACAGGAAACGCAATCAGCGTTGGAGGTTCTCGCAGCTAAAATAGATGCGATGGCGGCACGAATTCAGAACCAAGGAAGGTCACGAACACCTCAAACTCATCATACGAGGAATTCGCGCAGTCCGATACATTCAAGAGGTAATTCGGTTAACTCTCCTGCCCATAATGCTCGACGTAGTAATGAGTATATGAGAGCACGGATTAGAAAGGTAGATTTACCTTTATTCAATGGCGAAGGAGCCTATAATTGGATCATACGCATGGTGAAAAGTGGAGTAAGGAACATACTTGTAAATTGAAAATTTTCAAGTTAATGTTGATTGAAGAATCAGCTGAGGAAGAATGGTCAGAAGGAAATGATTTAATAATTCCAGAAAATGTCTCTCATGAAGCAATGGAATCTAAGTCTATGCAATTATCTCTGATGAGCAAAGAAGGGATTCCAACCATGAGGGCTTTCAAAGTGCAGGGAATTCTGAAAGGAAAGACAAGAGATCAACAGGTGGAGGTGCTTATTGATAGTGGGGCTACACACAATTTTATTTCACAGCAGTTAGTTGAGCAATGGCAACTGCCTTTTCAGACCATTTCTGGTTACAAAGTGCAAATTGGCAATGGGGAGCATATATCCAATAATAAGAAGTGTCCACAGTTGAGGTTGAGCCTGCAAGGTGCTGACATAGTACAGGATTTTTATATCCTCAATTTAGGAGGCACAGACTTGGTATTGGGTATGGATTGGTTGACAAGCTTGGGGGATGTGGAAATAAATTTTCAGAAACAGAAAATTAAATGGAAGCAGTGGGAGCAGGAGGTTTGTATTCAAGGAGATCCCAAGCTGAATTCAATGGAAGTGTCATTGAAAACCTTTTCACAAATATTGTGTGATAATGGAGATGGTTACTTCTTATATTGTGAAGGGAAGACCATAGAAATGGAGTAGGATGGAGGACTGGAAACCATTTGGAAGCAGATTTTAGAAGAATTTCCAGAAATTACAAAACCTAGGGAGGGTTTACCTCCCAGAAGAGACTGATCACTCAATAAATATTCAGGAGGGGGCTAAGATACCTAATATCAGACCTTACAGGTACCCACAGTACCAGAAGACTGAAATTGAGAAGATTGTGAAGGAGATGCTTGATTCTGGGATCATCCAGAATAGCAATAGTCCTTATAGCAGTCCCATACTCTTAGCCAAGAAGAAAGATGGTGGCTGGAGGTTCTGTGGAGATTACAGAGCCCTAAATAGAATCACAGTTCCTGATAAATATCCAATTCCAGTCATTGAAGAGTTACTTGATGAACTTGGGGAGGCTACCATATTTTCTAAACTGGATCTCAAATCTGGCTACCACCAAATCAGGATGAAAGAAGAAGATAGGATGAAGACAGCTTTCAGGACACATGAAGGCCATTATGAATATCTGGTGATGCCCTTTGGTCTAACTAATGCTTCCTCTACGTTCCAAGCTTTTATGAACCAGGTACTAAGGCCTTATTTGAGGAAGTGTGCCTTAGTATTTTTTGATGATATCTTGGTATACAGTAGAACTAAGGAGGATCACATAGAGCATTTGAGAGCAGTCCTATCTGCTTTGAGGGATAATCAGCTGGTGATTAACCTAAAGAAATGTTCTTTTGGACAACCTCAATTAGTCTATTTAGGACATATTATTTCTGGAGTAGGAATAACAGCCGACCCTACCAATATTGAAGCCATGGTTACTTAGCCAACACCTCGGAATTTAAAAGAGTTAAGAGGGTTTCTGGGGTTAACTGGCTATTACAGAAGATTTGTAAGGGGGTAACAGTAAGATTGCAGCACCTCTTACACAACTCCTAAAGAAAGACGGTTTTCAGTGGGGAGAACAAGCTACACAAGCTTTTGAGGAGTTAAAAAGAACCATGACTTCACTCCCAGTCCTAGCTACACCTAACTTTAATAAGACATTCATTCTGGAGACTGATGCTTCTGGAACTGGTTTGGGTGCAGTTCTCATGCAGGAAGGCAGACCTGTGGCTTTTATGAGCAAGGTATTATCCAAAAGAAACCAATCAGTATATGAACGGGAGCTCTTGGCTATTGTGTTAGCAGTACAAAAGTGGAGACTCTATTTGTTGGGAAGGACTTTTGAGATTGTAACTGATCAAAAGAGTTTAAAGTTTCTGACTGAGCAAAGATTGATGGGAGAAGAACAACAGAGGTGGACTTCTAAGTTGTTGGGATACAATTTCATCATCAGATATAGATCTGGGATAGAAAACAGAGCTGCTGATGCTCTGTCTAGAAGACCTATGCTCCAGTCTCTTTCAATTGTGACATGTCAAGAATGGGAAGGGTTGGAGGAAGAATTAAAGGCTGACATCAAGTGTGCAAAGTAGATTCAGAAGGTGATTTCTTATCCTGATCAATATTCAGAATTTCAGATCATCAAAGGCTTGTTAAATTATAACAAGAGATTGGTTCTACCTCAAGGATCATCCAGAATCACAAAGATCCTGAGGGAATATCATGAAACTGCTATTGGAGGACATTCAGGGTATTTTAGAACCATGAAAAGAGTATCCAGTCTTTTCTTTTGGCAAGGTCTGAGGAAGGATATAAAGAAATGGGTGGAAGAATGTGTGGTTTGCCAGACTAATAAATATCAAGCTTTAAAGCCTGCAGGATTACTACAGCCACTGTCTATTCCGAATAGTATTTGGACTGACATTAGCATGGACTTCATTGGAGGATTACCCAAATCACAAGGAAAGGATACTATCTTAGTCATTGTGGACAGATTGACTAAATATGCTCACTTTATTGCTTTATCACATCCCTACAATGCTAAGGAGATAGTTGATGTGTTCATTAAAGAAGTGGTCAGACGTTTCCTAAAACTATAGTCAGTGACAGAGATAGTGTCTTCCTCAGTGTTTTTTGGTCTGAACTATTCAAATTAGCTGGGACACAATTGAAGTACAGTACAGCTTACCACCCTCAGACTGATGGTCAGACTGAGGTGGTTAATAGATGCTTAGAAACTTATTTCAGGTGTTTGACTGGAAGAAAACCAAAAAATGGCTTAAATGATTACATTGGGCTGAGTATTGGTACAATACCAATTATCATGCTGCACTGAAAATCACTCCTTACAAGGCTTTATTTGGGCAGGACCCTCCTGCAGTAATAAGAGGAGATGTTACAATTACTGCAATAGAAGAAGTTTCAAAGTTGACTGCTCATAGGAATATGATATTGGATGAGTTGAAAGAGAATTTGACCAAAGCTCAGAATCAGATGAGGCAGCAAGCCAATAAGAACAGGAGAGAGGTTACATTGGAGATAGGGGATCAGGTTTATCTGAAGATCCAACCCTATAAGCTGAGGAGTTTAGCTAAGAGGATAAACCAAAAATTAAGCCCAAGATTTTATGGTCCATTTGAGATAATTGATAAGCTCAATTCTGTGGCTTTTAAGGTGAAGTTGCCAGAAGATAGCAAAATTCATCCTGTATTTCATATCTCTTTGCTAAAAAAGGCCATCTCATCTATTACCTACTTTCAACCTCTACCCAAGTGTCTGAATGAAGAATGGGAGTTACAGGTGGTGCCAGAAGATATTTTGGACACAAGGGTTGATGCAGATGGTAATTGGGAAGTATTGGTTCATTGGAGCAATCTGCCACAATTTGAAGATTCGTGGGAGTCAATGAAAATGATCAAAGAACAATTTCCAGAGTTTCACCTTGAGGACAAGGTGAATTTCCAGGGAGGGAGTATTGTTAGACATGCAGCAAGACAGCTGGTAGAATTTTATAATAAAGTGTATAAAAGAAGAAATAATAAGACTGCTGCTAGTAACTAATTACTAACGGGTTAGTTAGTTAGTTAGTTTGTTGTCCCTGCGTGGACATTACTATAAATAGAAGGGCTCAGCTAGCAGAAGGTTGGTTGGACTTTTTGGCTAGAACAGGACTGGGAGACTAGGCATCTCGAATTGTCTAAAGCGTGTATACTTTGGTTGAATGAATCAAGTGTGTGTTCTGTGTGTTGTTCATTGAGATTATAGCGTTCCATATTGTATGATCTATCATGTACAAAACCAGATCCGGCCTCGCTATTCAGTCTCTTGCGTAGATCAACGCAGTATGAGGATCTGCCATTTTTTCGTTTCAGCTCATCGGTCTTCTGACCCTATCGTATTTTCTGATCTTAGCTACGATCCATATTGCCCAGTCACACCCTACTCGTAAGATCGAACATCTTACGAGATGACTCGCGATCTTAACAACCATGGATCATACATTTTATATTTCTAGGCAAAAAATATTTAAATCTATTTGAATGTTCTAGGTGCACACATTAGATAATTAAATGCTTACCCATCATGGACACCACCAATATCTACAAAAGCTCCTTGATAAAGGTGTATTGCAGTCACTTTCCCTGCACAAATCTGCAAAGAACTTTCCAAAATTTAATATTAACAATCATGGCAGTAGCAAGATATCAGTTCTACTTATTCAAATTGAGGGACGGAAGGCCTAGTGGGTGGCAAATAGTCACTAGTACAATCTAGACAATTAAAGGCAGAAGAGAATATATAAAAAATAGAGAAAGCATTATGCGGGAAGGAGGTTGTAAAGATAGAAGTTGAGAAACAATACAGTCTACATTTACAGATTCATCTGTTGTGATTCAGGCTCTCTATTAGTAAATTTTAGCTCTTCAGTTTTCGATGTTTCTGCTTTCCATTTGTTTCTAGATTAGTGAATCTATAATAGGACTCTCTCTGTTAGAATGTACATATTTAATAGTCAATATATTCTATGTATATATGTGGTAGCTAATATATTATTTGCGATAGACTAAATATTCTATGTAAATCTGACAGATGTAGTTTCCATTTGTATTCTCTAGCTTGTATGAATTTATACTGGCTATACCCAAAGAATAATAAATTGTGATTTCATTGCATCTTTAATCTCTATTATTCAGTTTACATGGTATCAGAGCCAGATAGGTTCTTCGGGTAGTATTTCCTGAAGTTCGACTCTGCTCTCTCCCTCTGGTTTGATTCAGCCTTCTTTTGTGCGGCACAGTACGTTGTTCGCACAACGCAGGCGTGGTAATCTGGATCGTGTAGCACAGTCGTCGTAGGTTTGATTTTTTGGACACTATCTGCAACGGTTCTCTTACCCTGTTTTTGTTATCGCTCTTGCCCTAGTTGTTTGCAAGCATGTGTGATGATAAGGAGAGCATGACTGAGATTACGGTCAGTAATGCTAGAATTACCGAGAGAAAACTTACCGGTGCTAAAGATTACGGGCAGTGGAAACGGACTATTACTAGATATGTTAATAGTCTTGATCTGGGAGATCATCTAACTGAAATGGCTCATCAAAGAAGTAATTATGATGAAAGAAAGAAATGGATTATGGCCGATGATAGGTTGTTCAATAAAATTCAAAATACCTTGGATCCTTCTATTGACAGTATCATTACTCATTGTATCACTCATTGTGGTACAGTCAAAGAAATGTGAGAATACTTGGAGTGGATGTATGCGAGTAAACAAGATATGTCTTATGTTCATCAATTACTGGTGGAGGTGAAAGACCAGAAGTTTCAAAATTACAATGCTAAAGACTCAATTTAATACTTGGAGTCTATGTATTCCCGTAAACAAGACCTTGCTTATGTTCATCAAACTCAATTTAATAAGAATATACGCATTCTGAGAAAGTGATAATGCTAAAGACTAATTATCTAGCACTTTTCAGACTTATCGATCTCGCCACAGGATTTTACACCACACTTCTTGTCCTTATACACCCCAACAAAATGGTGTAGCTGAAAGAAAGATTTGTCACCTGCTAGAAGTAGCTCGAGCCTTAATATTTCACATGAGGGTAGACATTGAATCCATGTGTGCTACCTTATCAATTGTATGCCTTCTTCTATTCTTAATGGTCAGATTCTGTACTCCGTTTTATTTCCCTCTCAATCCATGTTTTCTCTTGTGCCTCGTGTGTTTGGTTGCACATGTCTAGTCTAGGACATGCGTTCCCAGGTCTCAACACTTGATCCTAAATCAATCAAGTGCGTTTTTCTGGGCTATTCCCGATTACAAAAGGGTATTGATGTTTTTCTCCATTAGGACGATATATTATCTCTGAAGATGTCACATTTTTTGAAGAAATGCCTTTCTTTCACCATGGTTCATCTCCATCCCTTCTTTGGAACTCTCTAATGATGAGCATCTAGTCTATACCATCAGCCAGCTAGAACCTATCGCCCCAGTGAGGTTTCCCCATAAACTTTCCTTCCTCCTCCACCTCCTCCTCTTAAACTTTACTGTTGTCGTGGGTGCCCTGTGACTAAGACACCTACTATGGCCACCAGTATACCACCATCACCTTCTGTTTTGCCTCCACATTTTGCTCCCTTTGACCTTGATCTCCCAATAGCCCTCAGAAAAAGGTACTCGTACTTGTACTTATCATGTTTCTTTCTTTGTTATTTATAATGCATTGTCACCTTCTTCAAAGAGCTTTGTTGCTTGTTTAGATTCTATTGTTGTTCCTTAAAGTGTTTCTGAGGCCTTGGCTCATCCTGGTTGGCAAGAGGCAATGCAGAGGTGATGATGGCTCTCGATCAGAACCACACATGGGGACCTTGTATATCTTCCACCCGAAGAGAGAGCTATTGGGTGTAAATGGGTGTTCACTGTCAAAATGAATCGAATCCTTATGGTTCTGTTGCTCGTTTAAAGGCACGATTAGTAGCTAAGGATTATGCTCAGACATATGGTATAGATTACTTAGACACTTTCTCTCATGTTGCCAAACTTACATCCATTTGATCGTTTATGTCTTTGGTTGTTACTTACAATTGGACATTACATCAACTTGATATTAAAAATGCCTTTTTGAATGGTGACCTTAGCGAGAAAGTATACATGGAGCAACCATCGGGGTCTCTTGCGCAGGGGGAGTCTGGAAAGGTATGTAAATTAAGGAAATCGTTGTATGGTCTGAAACAATCCCCACGAGCTTGGTTTGGCCGTTTAAGTGCTGCAATATTTAAATTTGACCTACACAGGAGTGCCTATGATCACTCAGTTTTCTTCTCTACCTCCAATTTTGGATGCATTCTATTAGTTGTGTATGTTGATGATATCGTGATCACTAACAGTGATGTGAGTCGTATTTTGAAACTGAAAGCTTTCCTTGTTACTTGCTTTCAAACCAAAGATCTTGGGCCCTTGAAGTACTTCTTAGGGATAGAAGTCTCACATAGTAACAAGGAAACTTACTTGTCTCGAAGAAAATACTGCCAATATTTGCTAAATGATGCAAGTTTGGTTGAGGCAAAACTGTGTAATGCTCTAATGATCCCAAATGTAAAGTCAACAGCTGATCAAGGTGATTTGCTGGAAAATCTTGAGGTATATTGAAGGATTATTGGGAAACTTAATTATTTGACTATCACCCGACTTGATATTTCTTTCCCGATAAGTGTGGTCAGTCAATTTCTGTCCACTCCACGAACATCGCACCGGGATGCAGTTACTCATACATATCCTAAGATACATGTGAGCTGGTTTGGCTTCAGCATTTGCTTGGATTTGCTCAAACAGAACAGATGAGATTATGGTGTGATAATCAAGCAGCTATCCATATTGCAAATAATCCTGTTTTTCAAGAAAGAACATAGTGTATCGAAGTTGATTGTCACTTCACTCGAGAAAAGGTGGAAGATGGTCCAATTTGCACTCCACACATCAAAATAGGAAACCATCTGACAGATGCGTTCACCAAGGCTCTATTAGGGACATGTATCAACTCCATCTGTACCAAGTTAGGCAAGATTAATATCTATGCTCCAGTTTGAGGGGGAGTGTTAGAATATACATATTTAAAAGTCAATGTCAATATATTCTATGTATACATATGGTAGCTAATATATTCTCTGTGATGGACTAAATGTTCTATGTAAATCTGGCAGATTAAGTTTCCTTTTGTGTTCTCTAGTTTGTATGTATTTATACTGGCTATACCCAATGAATAATAAATTGTGATTTCATTGCAACTTTAATCTCTATTACTCCGTTTACACTCTCTAGTTCTCTGTTACGATGTTGTCTTTGAAATTTATTTTTTCATTGTATGATTTCTGGTTTGGTTCTACATTGCTGCCGAGTACCTACACTAAAATGTATTCAATTCCAACCGCAGTTGCTGCTTGAAACTCTGAGGTGCCTCTTCTACCCAAGTTTAGAATAAAAAAAGTGGCAAAAAGTGCTCTTGGAAACATGAGTAAGATGTCATTTAGAAGAATTGCATTTATAAATGGAAATACTAGAAAACTTCAATGCGGATTTTGTAAAAAAAAGGAGTTTTACGGGTAGAGAGAACACCTTAACCGAATTAATGTTTTGTGAGTTGAGACCCATAAAATTTATTTGTGATCAATCAGCACTTTATACCGCCTCTAATTTATCTTTCGTATTAGAGCATACTAAAGTTGATTGGCAATTTGTTCAAGGAAATGTCACATCAAGAGAAGTCATTACAAGTTAGGAGATATATCTTATAAATTCTAAGGGTCTATTAAGATGGAAGATCGGAAGGTTTATGTGAGCTTTGGAGGGGAAGATAATAGAGTGCTTAGTCTATATCTTCATATATGAGATTTTATTCGAATATTCTACTCCCTCTGTCCCATATACAATATTCATGTTGCAAATTCTTGAGGTTTGACTGATGAAAAAGTAAACTTATCCCTGAAAGTATCACAATTAGAATTAAAAGTTAAAATTTATATAAATAGAAACTAAATTCTTGAGGTTTGAGTCACAAAAACTATTCCCTCCGTCCCAATTTGATGGACCTGCTGCGGTTTACGAGGCTTGACCGATGATAAAGCAAATGAATCCCTGTCCGCGCTCAAATTATTTGTAGCAAATGAATCCCTGTCCGCGCTCAAATTATTTGTAGCAAATAAAATTTACATATTCAGAAACTACATTAAAAGTTTTACAAAGTCGCAAATACCTGAATCAAATTTGATAAAAAATTGATATAAAAAGTAAGCGATTAAGAGTGATTGGTGTTGACCGGGTGAATATGAACTAGGACCATCAAATTGGGACGGAGGTAGTAATATTTTACATGATAAAAAAAAATTGATACATAGAATAAGAGATCAAAAGCGAACAGAAGTGATTAATATCATGCTTGGACAATATTGACATGTTACGGCATCAATATTGCCATATTAGTGCTTGATAATGCCAAAATATAGCACTATGATTTCAAATTGTTAGTATACTTTACTCCAAGTTAGGAGGGCATAGTACTCTTATTTAGGGAAAAACTGGTAGAGAGCGGGGAGGGGCGGAGGAAGCGGAGGAAGCGGATTCGAGCCCCTGGTCTACTGTAGGCAGGGATG